GGACGCTTAACCGACTGCGCCACCCAGGCGCCCCAGGATTTTTATTTTTAAAAGAATTCAGTGCATAGTGTTAGCTATGGTTTGGCAGGAGGATCTCTGCTTACAGGTGGAGGAGGAAGCTAGCTGCTTTCGTGTCTGCTGTTATACGGACCCCAGGTAGATGTCATTTGTAGCCTCCACTCGAGGGGCTTAATCCTCTCTGTGGGAATTGTTGCTGTGTGTTTTCAGGGGAAGACCGTGCCCTCTAATAATTTGCTCACATGTCTCTCCTCTTTGGGTATACAGATCCTGAAATACGACATTCTCACAAAGTCATCCTTAAAATGGGGACAGGAGCACTGCTGGCCAGCAGAACCCCTGTTTGTCCCCATGCCGGGTGCCAAGGGCGAGGATGATGGTAAGACTCCAGGAAGGGGAGCCCGCTTGCTGCATTCTGCTTGTGATTACCCCTCAGTCAGAGACGTCATTTGGAGGCAGTGACCCTCCCTCCGCATCCCCCACATCACACTGCCACTGGAGCCAGGCTTTGAAGCCAGGGTCCTTCTGAGTCCAAAGCTGTGAGTTAGGGAGTCCCTCTAAACACCGTCACTGCTGACACCAACTGCAAGTTCAGGGGTTCCCCAGTCCCTGGGTTTCGATAGAAGGATTCACAGAACACACTGAAAACTGTTAGGGTTGTGGTTTGTCACAGGGAAAGGATGCAGATTGAAAGAAAAGAGGCTCATGGGACAGAATCCAGGAGATTTCCATTCATGGAGTGTCTGGTTGTCCCAGGAGGTCATGGCCCACCCCAGCTCCAACAGTATCTATGGAATATCACTGACCGAGGCAACTCACCCAAGCCTTGGGGTCAGAGCTTTTTAGGTGCCTGGTCGTGTACACATGGGTGGTTGGCTGTGTGGTTGATCCTTAGCCTTCAGCCCCTCTGGAGGTCAAGATGACGTCCAAATTGCTTTGCTAGGATAGATCATCAGAGTGGCCCCAGATAAATAAAGATATTCTGGGGCGCCT